ATCTTTTAAGAGAAGACAACAGATTTTACTTTAAAATTGAAATCTTATCAGATTTAATAGGATTTTGTAGATAGAAAACACGTCAGCATTCACTAACAATTCTATTTAAAAAAAATTTTTTTGTCAAATTCGATAATTTTCATATTATTGACATACGATTTCATCATTTTGAACTATTCAGCTAAACTTTACAACGAGTAGAAATTTATAAATAGGAACAATCTTCGGAAATAAAGAAAAATTGTGAACAATCTCGATTAATTTTATGATTAGTTAGTAATCAACAACTTTTAAATTTAAAAATATTTAAAAAAAATGATTCTCCTTTGCTAGAAAGTTTAAAAACAAGAATGTACATCAAATACTAAAATGTTAAAAGAAGGGATTCAACCGTATAAAAAACTTATTCTTTCTGAAACATCGTTTATTTTATTACCCAATTTCATTCTGATTTGTTAGACTTATTATCCATGTAACAAATCAACCTAACTCGAAACTTAGTGAATTTCACACTGACAAACATAACAGATATATTCACGTTAAATTTAATTGTGTACAAATCTGCTTATAAATTAAGTTAAGACAGAAACGAACACCCTACAAATAAATATGTCTGATTACATCTTGCCTAATTAAATATTCTTTCATGATGCTTCCAACTTTATGTTGTTGCTCTTAGGAAAGTGTTCAGAGATGAAGAAATGTTACTCTTACTCAACAAGCGCAAAATGGCCACGCCATTGGCGACGAAGACTTTTGCCAGTGTTTGCCTTCGTCACTCACGCTTCGTATCCTAGGCGCAGTACACCTCTCTCGTGAACAACATATTTATGTTGTTCTTAGATATCATAATAAGACGTTTGGATAATATTAGTATTGAAGAAAATTTCTTTGCCGCTGACAATTGTTTCATTGAATTTTATTTTCAGTGAAAGACAATTCTGGTAAAAAAAATAATCGATGACATCCAATCAGTTGATTTCTCAATATTAGTAATACAGAAACAGTATCATCTAAAGGATATTGAAATTTAATTATCACGATAAAAATCATCAAATAATTCAACTATTCATTGGTGAGAAAAGAACAAATATGAAAATACCTTCTGAATTGCCGTTTTACTAATTCTATTATTGAAATAGACTCTGGTAGTATCGCTAAAAACCAAACGAAATATTCTTTGATAATGATCAATATCTTTTATTTTCCATACTTTTGTCTCGATTGAGATGTTTCATATCTGAATTATTTGGAAATATATTAATCAGTATAACAAAATCTGTTTCTATTTGATGTTAAACATTTTTTGTACATGGTTTTCTTCATGAATTTGAACTCATAGGTTTTTATTTTTTAACATTTAATATTTATTTGTTCCTTGAAAGGTTAACAAATTCAACGCTAATAGGGTTACAAACACATCCGTTGAGAAAATGAACACTTCGCATTGCTTTAATCTTTGTTGCTTAGCGTGTTTAGAAATAATACATTGATTATAGAAACAAGCATAGAAATGAAAGAGATAGTACATTATTGAAAGTATATAGCATGTTTTAGATGATGCACTTAATGAACATAGACTATTGAGTGAAGTATACATCTAAGATAAAATAAATTTAGCGTTAGTTATCCTCTATTAATTATTTCATTAGTTTATTTTCCGTTATTTTCTATGGTGATCTTGGAAAATATTTTAGGATAAACCACTCAATTATAGATGAAGATGTTTTATATATTCCTAACTGTTTTTTTGTGAGTGTTGAAAAACATGAGTAGGTCGGGTTTTGAATGCATTGCTCTTTCCGATAATCCATGAGGAAAAGATGTTTTTCAAAGCTGACCCAGAATTTATATATCTAATCTCTTAGCGAATATTCTTGGGATATGGCTAAGGTAGTGATATCGTCCCATCCCCAGATATTATATACTATTCTCAATTCTGTTCCATATGTGTGCTCGATAGCAGCTTGTTGTTTTTCAGTATAAAAGAACCATGCTGAGAAAAGCCATATAAAGTGAGGTACGGCATATGCATAGAAAAGTTTTTTACATATCTGTATTTCATTTTTTAGGAATCGCTATAAACATTTTCTTCAGTCCTGTATATATATTGCGTACTTTGCATAATCTATTATTTATGAAATTTCCCCATCCTAATTTTGAATCGATCTCTATTCCTAAGTATTTAAATGATTTTACATATTCTATTGGGACATTTTTATACTCTATTTTTGGTTTCACTGCTGTTACTGCGCTATGTATTAACATTGCTTTTGTTTTTGAAACATTCACAAGTAAAAGGAAATCTTCCGCAAATTTTTCGAATGATTTTAATACAATCTTTGCTTGCCTTTCAAGATATTTGATATTATCCACTAATTTCATTTCTAGTGCTCCGTTAACAACCATTGTTAGATCATCTGTAAATAAATGATACACAATTTGAGCAAAATAACCAGGCAATAAGTGTATGTGAATTCGAAATAATATCGCTGCAACTACGGATCCTTGTGGTGCACCTTGAAAGATTTTGATGATTCGAGACTCTGCCTCTCCATAGCTGATTAATACAGAGCGGTTTTGCAACCACATATATATCCATCGACGTAGATTTATTAGCATATCGAGATCATCAAAACTTTTAAACAGTGCTGGATAACACATTCGGTCGAATATTGTCATAAAATCAACGAAGATTGCTAACACTGGACGGTTTGGTGCCGCTATTGTTAGTCTTATATCCTCTATGAGAGATAGTATGCTAGTCTGGAGTCTATGATTCTTTCCATCCATTTTCCCAAATTTGGTAATAGAGATATTGATCTCAGTCTATCCTCAGTTGGATATATTCCATTTTTGGATAGACATACACCCCTTTCATGCTTCGCCCGCTCAAAGAATGTCCCATTTTCAGCGCATTTGTTGAATAGAACTGTAATAATTTGTCAGTATTCTAGGGGAAGGTTTTTTAAAAGAAAGGCTGATGTATTTAAGCTATTTAATGATTTAATCGGCTTAACTTTTTTCCATTGTTTTATGACGTCTTCTAGTTTTATTTGTTGAAGAGGAATATTAGGGGTGTATTATATTTGTGTATATGCCTCTAGGCATTTTACATGGTATACGTTATTTATATTATAATTTGGTTCTGAAAAATGTTTTTCATAGTAATTTGCTAGTATTTCACAAATCTTTTGATGATTTCTATCAATACCTAGTGGTATTTTTAGTCCTTTAAAAGGAGGGGTATATTTCTTAAATGTTGGACTCGCTACCTTCCAAATAGTGTTATTTTCATTCATAAAACATAATTTTTCTTATCTTCTTCTCTCTTGAAAGTTTAGTTTTTCTCTCTTATATACTTCATTCTACGATGCCCATTCTTCATAATGTCATAAATAGTGGGTTCTTCTATATTTTCTTTTGTGTTTATTTACTGTTTTGCTAGAAATACAATATGTTGCGGCCATGGCGATGTATATTTATTCACGTTCTCATATTTACTACATCTGTCCGATAATGCTGTTAAGAAATTTGAAAATAACTCGAAAAAGCTATTTTCGTCGAAGTTATATACCAGACAGTTGAAATATTCAACAACATCTTTTAAGAAGAATGTGAGTATTGACCGGTTAGTTTGGCGAAAGAATGAGTTTTTACTGATAGAAAAAGGTGAGGTATATATAACTGGGTAATGGTCAGAGGTTCCTTCGAGTATTGTCGCACAATTCTATCCTGTGTAATTAGAAAATCTATCATCGACTCTGATGTTGTTGATGTTGGGAAACTTGAGTGTACCGTCTCGCAACCATTTCTATCCATCCATTCTTTGATTTCATTTCTACTAGAACTGTTTTTTTGTACAATTCCATTGAAAATATTTAGCATTGTAATCTCCGAAAATGAAGAAGTTTTTTCTTAAGTACTTCTGAAATATTTCGAAAGGAGCTTTGTTTGTTGTTGGAGCATAAATTCCTCCTAGATAATTTTTTTCATTCTCTGTTTCAATTTCTAACATTAAAAAGTTTTGAACTTTTTCTATAGTTTTACTAGATATAGATTGATGTATCAGAATTGTCACTTCCCAAAAACTATTTGAACCTTCAACTTTTTCCCAACAGAATGATGGAATTTTTGGTATATTTCGAATTTCTTTTTCAACTCCTGTTAGAATAACAATTTGAGGAAGATGGGATGATACTAGAATCTCTAAATCACAAAGATGGGTACTTAAATCTTGACAGTTGTATAAGATAACGATGAGACTATCGCTTTCACATTTGGTCTAGTTTTTTTTCCAAGACTTACATAAATTACTTATCGATGCTTTAGTATTCCATTCAGTAAATATAGAAAGAATGTCGATTTTTTCGCTTTCAGTTCCTGTAAATTGTTCTACTATTTCCATATTTATCATTGACGTTGAATATCTAAATTCTTTAATATTCATTCTGAGGTTGATGTTGAAATAATGCATTCATAATATAATCTAATGTTACTTTTTGCTAATCGACTAGCTGTTGAAGTAATGCTTGATGTGATAAATAGGTCTCTTTTTCATTATTTATTATTGCTAAATGTTTTTGTGTTGTTTTTATTATTTTTTCTACTTCTATGTTATTGTTTCCTGTTTTCATTTTTTCGAAAATTGAACACATAGAGTTCAGCATATTTGAGCATGTTGTAAACATTGTTGTACCGATTATATTGTTCATCGTTGGCATCATTTGTATTTGTGTATCAATCTGCTGTTTCATGATAATGGAATTTTAATTAATTAAGTTTAAAATCTCACAATATTTTTGTTGAGTTTTTCTTTTTTCTTCAGCATAATTTATTTTAATTTGATCAAACTCGTCCTTTAACATTCGAATTGCATCACATATATTTGTATTATTGGTTGACGTTGGTGCCGATTGATTTGATACGCTGTGTTGCAATATTGGCCATGTATTATAATCCTCTTTCATAATGTTAAATTGATGTGAACTCTGTTATTGCTACATAAGTGCTACTTTATTTTCAATAACTTTGTTATTTTCATCAGATGGTCGGCATTCGAATGGTATGTAGATTTGTGTATTTACTGATAGAAGATAGGTACGTTTACGAAGTTCAGAAACAAGATTTTGTCTATATTCTTTTATGATCGGGCATTTATAATCTGTGGATGTATGATTTCCTTGGCAGTGGTGGCATTGTATTTGACATGTTTTATGATCTTCTGTATTGTTTCTGTCTTTTCCACAACGTCTATATATTTCAAATGAAGAATACGAACAATACTTTTTGATATGACCGGGTAAATTGCATTTTGTGCATATCAGTAATTTCGGAGCAGGCAGATATTCATCGACATCATATAATTGTTCATAAATTGTAATTTTGTCACTATTTTAAATTTCTTATATTCTTTCTCATCTGATATATCCATACGAATATGCCGATTACGTTCATTTGCTGTTCCTAATATTTCTTTCATTGAATAAATTGATTTGTATCTTTCATCCAATTCATTTTTTAATTCATTAAAACATATTGTGTTTCTTATTCATTTCATTATTGTTGATCTTTGTGGTGGTAAATGCTTTGGTGCATGTGGAATAATTTTTATATTATTTAATTCTTTGGGATATCTTTCTTTTTTACATAAATAAACGTATAGATCTATATTTTTTTTTAAGACTTGTATATTTCCATCTTTGTCAATCCACCATACATCGAAACCAATTGGTGTTTTTATACGTAGGATTTTGCCTTGCAAAATCATTGGAAATGAATTTTATGAAATCTTGTATAAATTTAGCACCTATCTTCTGTTCATCTATTTTTGGTTCAAATTCAAATTTCAGAGGTTGTAAATAGTTTTCAGCTGCAAATTTAAGAGCTTGTTGAGATATTTTTGCTTGATCATCATTAAATTTTTTGTTGTTATTATTGCAATTATTATGATTGTGATTATAATTATTATTATTATTAATATTATCTAATAATAATGATTGATGTTGTTGTAATATTCATGATCTACTGGTTTGTGTTCGATTTGAATTATTATTATTATTATTTTCAGTTAATGACTTGGAATTAAATATTGTTCTTGTTGCACATTGTTGAATTTGTTCTTCTAAATCAGTACCATCACATAATCTATCCTTCTGTGCTGTATTCGTATTGTTGTAATTTTCATTAGTCATTTTCAATGTTCAACTTAAACTTTTAATTAAGGTTTGTAATTTATTTATTTATTTATTTTAATGATAAATAAATATTAAAGTACAACCGAATTAGTCACGTTTTAAATACACATGCACGTAAACGTTTAGTATACACCAATACAGAAAAGAGAAACAAGAAAACGTTCTATTCGTACAGTGTGAAAAGGTGAAGTGGTTCATAAGTTTTCCTTAGTTTTGATATATGATTCACAGTTGGTAATGGATCTTTGTCTGATTCTTTATTATTCATGTTTATAAATGGAATATCTGAACCACAAGTAAAATTGTATTGAGTTCTATCAAACAAAAATTTGACTATAATTCTAATGAAGATGCAAAATTATTATTTTTCAATGGTATATCTATTTGATCGATGAAGGATAAGATGAACAAAGAGAAAGCTGGAGGATCATCAGTCATTTTTTTTTCATCAAAACACAAAAATGATGTTTTTTTTCTTTGTTGGATAGATAATAATCAGTTCATCGATAAATCCCTTTAAATTTCATTTGTTGATTAGTTGAAGAAGCCTTTTTTATTCTCACTATATAATGCTGAATGTATAAAACGACCATAGATGAAAAATAAGAAATCAAAAGACAAAATGACATGAACGTTTTTTTAATGAAAAATTTTTTATTATCGAGGTGAAATCTTCATCCACATTCCATACTTTGGTCTAGAAAAAACAGTACTTTTATAATTTTTTTCTGAATTAAACACAAAAACAAATGTAACCTTATTGTAATAGCAATGTCTGGAACAAGTTTTTGACCAGGTACAAGTTCAAAACGAAATCGTTTAATAATCATTGCTAAAGTAATTTTTGCTTCTAACATAGCAAAATTTTGTCCAATACATGAACGAGATCCAGCTCCAAATGGTAAATGTATATCCAGATGGCGTTCATGGAATCTTGATGGATCAAATTTAAATGGCTCATGCCAATATTCTTCTGAACTGTTTTATTATTTAAATAAATATATAAGAATGATTAATATTTACTTACTGGTGAAGAGTGTATAAATCAATCCAAATATCAGTTCCTTTTCTAATGAGAATTTGTTTTCCATCGCTAGCAATTAACATATTATCTTCAATTGCTTCACGGACTAATGATGGAGCAGGTTGATGAAGTCGTAATGTTTCTTTTAATACAAACTCCGTATAAATTAGAAGAGAAAGTGTTGATGCTGTTATTTCTTCGTTATTATTTAATACGGAATCAATTTCTGCTTCTAATTTATGACATATATCAGGATTATTGGCTAAATTGTATAATGTCCAAGTCATTAAGGTTGCTGTTGTTTCATGACCAGCAAGCACTAAATTATGAAATAAATATTATAAGATATATTATGCTTTTCATTATACCAAAAGTTAAAGCTTCTTCAAAGACTTCTTCATCAGTAAATTTACTTGTTTTATCATTTCCATGTGCAGATAAAAGTAAATCAAGTAAATCTGGTCCTATAGAAATAAATAAATCACAGATTAAATTCTAAAAAATAAACAAAACCTTTGCAAGCAGATTTAGTAAATCCTTTTTTTCGTTCATCAATTATCTGTTCTACAGAATGTCGAACATTTTCTTTTGCTTTATCAATTCGTCGTTTACTTGCTAATGGTAACCGATTAATAATTGGAATGATAGCAATCATATTAAATGTTCTTTCTTCAACATCTTCTAATGTTTTTGTAAGACCTTGATAAATCGTTTCTCGTGCATGTTCATCCTTCATCAGTCCACTTCCAAAGACACATCCAGTAACAATATCCAATGTTAAACCTATCATTTCTTTATGAATATCACGAACTGATATATTATCTTTATTATTTGTATCAGTCATAGTCAATAACCATTTATTAAGAAAATTAGATGTTATTTCAACCATAAATGAAATCATAGAATTTAGATTTTGATGTTGAAAAACAGGTGCAATAAGTCGTCGATGTCGTGTATGAATATTATCTTCAGCCATTAAAATATTTTCAAATCCTAACACCATACCGATAACAAGGTGTGTCAAAGTAGATTTATGATAAGCATGAGCATTTGTTTTCAATACTCCTTGAATTAATACAGGATCACTAATGACCAAACGAGCTAGAGGACCAAATGATGTATGATAATAATTACCAAATTTCTTTGCCATTTCAATACTATAAGACAGTGGATCATCAGCAAGAATAGCACGACGAATACAAAAAACTTCGCCAATTATAGGTATGTATCGCCCAGGAATTCCTTGTACCCACAAATCTTTGTGAATACGCCATGGATCAAATATCCAAAATTTCAATAAACGATAAACAACATATAATATTACGACGATTGTAATAATACAGAACCACATTATCGTTGCTAAGAGCAAAAATGTAAGTGACACGTGCTTTGGTCGTTTGTATAGAGTAAAAAATAAGACAGTGGATAAAACGCGTTCTCTACAGAAGTGAAATATTAATGCATAAAGTGAAAGAACAGCAAAGATAATAATTCGTTTGCGTTTGTCATATGTTATATAAGATGTCCTATGCTATATTTTTGTCTGATTTTGTTGCAAAGTGTGTATTTCTTACGAGGAAGGTACCCTACTTGTTTAAGACCATTTGATTTCATCTTTTGGCTAAATATAAATTCAAGCAAGACTATGGAAATCACAAAAGTATTTGTGTTCATGGCTCTTCCTTTCTGAGCTAGGATTAAATGTATATAAAAAAATTATGATTTATCATTTTTTTTGTAAAAAGCGTTTCGGTGTCAGTCTAAATATTTCCTGTACTAAACATAACCATTCAAAAAAACTTGATCACGAGCGCTAATATATCCAAAACTTGAAACATTGAATCAACTGAATAATGAAATTCTGAACTATTACTATGTAGTAAATTAGCTGGTCTCATATAATTTCATTTATGTATTAGAAAACTAATGCTAGCGAAATTTATTTATTTTGTCGATCGTTTCTATGCGACGAAGACAGATCTTTGACTTACCGTTTCATTTGTTGTTTCGTGATGTCAAAACGTATTCTGTTTTCATCGCTTCTATATAGATTTCCAATATCTCAGATAGGGGTAAAAATCGCATTACAATGCATGTAAATGGTAATTATTATAATGATGTAATACGCTCATTAAAAAAATTCGGGAAAGTTCTCTGCATGTGAGGAATTAAAATCTGCGTCAGGTAAGGCGTTAAAATGGTTATTTTTTGATTACCAATAGAGGTTTTTGCATTGTAAGTTAATAAGGTTAGATATAATCAGGCCAAATTACAGCTCTCATTATTCAACTAAGAAACTTAAAATATTGACTTATCTTGCCATGCCTAGACCAAAATATTCTAATTTTAGGCTATTTAAAGCATATGTAATGTACTCATAAATCAAAATTTTAGCAGATTATTTTTCTTTTTTTGACATAGTTGCGTAGAGTTCGACAAATTATATCAGAAAAAGTATGTTTTAAAAAAAAACAACTTTTTACAATCAAATACATTTCTACAAAAGATGTCATTGGTGTCAAAACTACTCGAGAATCAAACAAAGAAATGGCATTCCTCACATGCAGTCAGAATCAATTTTAACGTTACTACATAAATATTATTATTCTTTATGTAATATCGTTCCTCAAATTTTTATTGCTTTTAGTTAGATTTCAGAATTCAATAGAAGCACAAATAATCAATGCATGTAGATGATTATAATGCTATTTTTGATATTCGTCCAAATTTTGTCCCAAATTTTCGATATCTCTCTGATTGCAAGGAATAATCAAAAAAAAATAAGACAGTTTATTAATATAATGTTTTCAACTAAGTCAATAATACACGATAGAAAGCGCAACACAAAAAAAAAACTGTTGATGCAACCGGTTTCATTACTTGAGCGCAAGGAATAGAGAGATATCATTGATGTTCTCGTTTGTATGATACCTTACTGATCACAGTCCTGCTTCTAACTAACTAAAGCGATTAGATCTGAATTGTAGTATTCAGTTGAGCGAATTGAGTATTGAATAAATATAGCACTTGTGAGACAATCTTTGGTGAAAAAATCGCATTTGTTGCTGAATGTATATGCATACGTATATGATGGGAATTTTTTAGACATACTCACATCCACACCCGTTCAATAGTTTCTTTTTCTTAAATAGAAAAATCCTACTTGTAATTTTTACAAAATTAGTAGCAACTATTAAAATAAGAAACACAATTGTCAAATTATTATCTGATTATCAATTGAAAAGATGGTATCCATAGAAAAATAATATTTCATATTTAGTGTAGATATTCAACGAAACGAAATCATAATTATCCATGTCCGAATCTCTCTCTGCGCGTATATTCCATAGGTTACAACAACTTCAGCATGATGCATCTATCGATAACAATCATAAGTCTCGTCGGAAGCTGAGCGTTGAAATGGGCGTACAGAGCTCTCAACCTATCAAAAAGTGACAATCTGAGGGTTCGATATAGAATATTGGTATCTATCAGTAGCTGAAATCGACGTGTCGAAATGCTTATTGAATCGCTGGTTGGAGTGTGGATGTTCTCTTCAGCCGCACTCACATCCATACTCGTCATCTTTTTTTTTCTCTTATAAGGCAGAATGAGAGAGACCACCAACTATTCGTATATCTGTGTAAATATATAGGTCATGTAAAATAAAGAACAACCTTGAGCAACGGAGAAATGAGAAAGCTTATCAATTTCTCTCAGGCTCTTTTGTGATAATGCGCACGTGACATACAATACAAATTATCGCATCATACATTCGACATTCTATTTTATTTTTATAAAAGCTCACACATACGATCATATCTATTACTTGCTTCAAGTAAGTTGCAGAATAATTTCGGAAAAAGTATTTGTTAAAAAATTGCATTTTAAGGAAAGAGGTATTACGTAGCACAACGGATACAATTTGCGAAAAAGGTACACATTTGTTGCGTTCTGAAACTGTCACTTTTATAAAGATTTCTCCGACTCCAAGTAAACAGTACAAATAATGTAAAAAAACCTTAGCACCTGAGCAACCCATGCGGTTTTTGAAATAAACTGATAGACGTGAATTGAGAAGAAAGCTATCCTCTGTTCTTTGAAATAATTTAGGTTGTCGATATGGAGTATATGTCAACAGAGTTTTTTTTATATCTTAGAGTTGTTGGTTATTGATAAGAAAGTGGAGTTGGTGCAATACGATTGCAGTAAACAATATTGGAAAATAGCATAATTAATTACAATTATGAACATTAAAATATATCAAGTCGATGCCTTTACGGATCAGTTATTTGGCGGTAATCCGGCGGCTGTATGCCCATTAGACAAATGGTTACCCGATTCATTGATGCAAAAAATTGCAGCTGAAAACAATCTTGCTGAAACGGCTTTTTTCGTGCCAAATTTCAGCAATGACGGATACGAACTTCGTTGGTTTACCCCACAACTGGAAATAGATCTTTGTGGTCATGCAACATTAGCGGCTGCACATATCATTTTCACTGAAATGTCTTCAATGAATGAGGAAATCAACTTTCAGACCAAGAAAGCTGGTGAACTTAAAGTAACTCGCCAAAAGGAGAATGATTTATACATCCTCAATTTTCCAGCCCGTCCAGCAGCGAAAACAGATTTGCCCGACGGATTGTTGTCAGCGTTGCGCAGCAATGTAACTCCCATAGAAGTTTATAAAGCAAGAGATCATATGCTCGTTTATGAAAACGAAGTCGACGTCAAACAATTGTCGCCAGATTTTATGGCATTAGCTAAAATTGATACTATTTTTAGTGTGATTGTTACTGCTCCTGGTGATGAAGTCGATTTTGTTTCGAGGTTTTTTGCGCCAAGCGCTGGCATTTCTGAAGATCCCGTTACTGGTTCATCACATTGCAGTCTAATCCCTTATTGGGCTGAACGATTAGGTAAAAATCAGCTGCATGCTTACCAGATTTCAGCACGTAAAGGGGAACTTTGGTGTGAAAATCAAGGTGACCGGGTGCTCATGTCGGGCAAAGCAGTTACCTATTTAAAAGGTGAAATAAACGTTTGATTTTGCATGTTCACATTATAGACGAATAAATTTCTTTTTTTCCCGACATCCAATATTTTTTCTGCTGATATTAGACTTTGAAAGTATTGAAGAGAACATAGTACGATGCTCATTAACAAGTGCAGAATAAAATGACTCATACTGCCTCGATTTACTGATGGAGCTTGAGAAAATTTAAAAAAAAATTGGTACAATCAAACTCATATATCTAGAGAAGCTGAGGTGAACGTAGGTGAAGTTAGCACCATATTCGAGTAAAACCTTCCCATATTCGTCCAGGAATATGTTCCAAGTGTTCCAACCCGGTTCCAAGTAGAACTCGACGAGCTCTATCGAATGGCCACCTTCGATTTTCCATAGCCCAAACCAGTCCCGAGGAAAATCCAAAATACTGCTCTTTTTCTATGGGAAAAGGCAAACCCGCATACTAAAACCTTCCCATATTCGTCCAGGAACGTGTTGAGAGTGTTCCAGCCCGGTTCCAAGTCGAACTCAACGCGCTCTATCTAATGGTCACCTTCGATTTTCCATAGCCCAAACCAATCGCGATAAAATCCCAAAACAGTACCTTTTCCCTACATGTATGGTCACTAAAACCTTCCCATATTCGTCCAGGAACGTGTTCCAAGTGTTCCAGCCCGGTTCCAAGTAGAACTCGACGAGCTCTATCTAATGGCCACCTTCGATTTTCCATAGCCCAAACCAGTCCTGAGGAAAATCCAAAATACTGCTCTTTTTCTATGGGAAAAGGCAAGCCGCATACTAAAACCTTCCCATATTCGTCCAGGAACGTGTTCCAAGTGTTCCAGCCCGGTTCCAAGTAGAACTCAACGCGCTCTATCTAATGGTCACCTTCGATTTTCCATAGCCCAAACCAATCGCGATAAAATCCCAAAACAGTACCTTTTCCCTACATGTATGGTCACTAAAACCTTCCCATATTC